CCTGCTGATCTTCTCAAACACCTGCCTCGCCTCCTGGATGTACTGGTCCTGGATGACCATGGGGAGAGGATCCTCGTGCCCCTGCTGTCCCCCACCTGGAGCCACCCGGTCCTGGCTGTCCGCAGAGGCCAGGAGGAGCTCGGAGGAGCTCTGCTTCATGGTGCTCTGCAGGAAGAGCCGCCGTGTCCCGGATTTTTCGGAGCAGGTGAAGGACTTGGCGCGACGCAAAGTGGCCGTCAGGTCCTTGAGCGTTGGCCGCTCGCCCGGCGCCCAGCGGGTTTGGGGATGAGCGGCACCGCAGCCGCCTGGGGAAGGGCTGGCACCGCTGGAGCATCCATCAGAGCCCACATCAAGGCCGATCCTCACCCCCTTCTTCTTCACCTTCAGCTCTGAGAGGTCCGATTTGAGGAAGCTGAGCAGAGTCAGGGTCTCGGTGGCGATGTCGGGGTTGGACAAGGACTTGCGGTGCTTCGCCCGCTCCCCTTCCAGTCCCGGCTGCTGCAGGCTCTCGCTCCCATAGTCCGGTTTTGCCTTGGCCACGCTCTGGGGCAGCTTGGGGCGGACGCGGACGCCCGGCTGTCCCCAGGCCAGGCCATCGCTGGCCCCGAAACTGGGCGATCGATAGATACCGTAACCCGCCTGGAGAGCCCGTCCTTGGCCGGGCCAGCAGACTCCAAACTGCTCCTCTTCCTTCAGCGTCTCCGTGCTGGAATAGCGACTGCTGCTGCGGGACCCGCCGGGGCTGCCGAAGGGCAGGATGTTCACCTTGGAGACGCGGGCCACCATGGGCAGCGGGTGCCGGGGGACCACCCGAGCGCAGCCTTCGGCCTCGGCATCGCCATCCTCCGTGCCCTCCTTCTTCTTCCGCGCGGCGCGGGGCCGGAGGGCAGCGCTCTGCCCCTCGCCCTCGCTGCCCGATGAGGCGCGGGGAGAACGGGCCGCCGCGGCTTCATCGTCCCCGTTGGAGCGGGGCGATGGGGAGGAGGAGGGTGGTTGCGGTCGAGCCGAGTTATGCCAGGAATGCGGGCCGGGCTCCGGCGGAGCTCCGCGGGGAGAGCGGAGCGCCGGGTGCGGGACGCGGCTGCGGGGCGGAGGCGGCGGGGGAGCTCCGCGGGCGCTCCCGCTGCCGCTCCCGTTGCCCATCCCATTCCCGGTGGCCGCCGCGGGCTGCCGGCAGCTTTCCCCGAAGAGTTTCCGCATCGCCGGGACGCTGGGCCAGCGCGGCGGCTCCGCGTTTAACCCCGGGCCCGGCGGCGACGGCGGCGGCGGCGGGGGCGGCGGTGGAGCCGGGGACGGCGGCTGAGCGCCGGCATGAACCGGGCCCGTCGGCTCCGGCTCGGTGAAACGAAGCGAAAGCTGCCGTACCGACGGGGCCAGGCTGCCAAAAGCCCGGCCCGGTTGTTGCTCCGCGCTCGGCGCTGAAACTTTCCTAGCCGGGAAGAAGAAGGAGGAGGAGGAGGAGGAGGAGGAGGAGGAGGAGGAAGGCGGGGAGGAGGCGGGCAGCAGGCACCGAGCCGCCGCTACCCCCCGGCCGCTGCCCCCCTCCGCCATTGTCGGTGCCCCCCCGGCGCCGCCGCCGCCTCCGCCCGCCCCCCGGCCCCGCCGCCGCCGCGCCCCGGCCCCGGCCCCGCCGCAGGCACCGCCCGGCCCCGCTCCTCCTCCGGGCTGCCGGCGGGCTGCATCCCTCCCGCTTTGTTTTCTCTCTCTCTCTCTCTCTCTCTCTCTCTCTCTCTCCCCCCACCCCCCCACCCCTTCTTTTTTTTTTTTTTTTTTTGGCTTTTCCTCCTCCCTCACCCCCTGCTTTTTTATTTGTTGCATTCAAATAAACTTTCCTCCCCGGAGGCGGGGTTTGCTCCCGCAGAGGGGGAGGGTTGAAGTTTTGCTCCCTTTTAAAAATTATTTATTTAATTTTTCTTTTTTTTTTTTTTTTTTTCCCTTCGGAGGGGATGAGGAGGGAGAGGAAGGCGGCTTTACAGCTGCCCTCTTGCTCCCGGGCTAAGCAGGAGCACCTCGCACCCCCCTGCATCTTTCACCCCCCTCCCGCATCCTTCCTTACCCCCTGCATCCTTTCTTCCACACCCCCCAGCATCCTTCATCCGCCTTCCCTTTTATAAAGTGGCTTATAAAAAAGTGGGAGAGCAACTTTTTACATGGGCAGATAGTGATAGGATGAGGGGGGGACAGCTTTAAACTGAAATAGGGGAGATTTCAGTGGCATATTGGGCAGGAATTGTTCCCTGTGAGGGTGGGCAGGCCCTGGCACAGGGTGCCCAGAGAAGCTGTGGCTGCCTCTGGATCCTGGCAGTGTCCGAGGCCCGGCTGGACAGGGCTTGAATTAACATGGGATAGTGGAAGGTGTCCTTACCCATGGCAGGGTGTTGGAATTAGGTGGTCCTTGAGATCCCTCCCAACCCAAACCACTCTGTGATTCCCTCCATCCCTTCCCACCTTTTTCCTTTTAGAGGGAAACAGGACAAATAGCCAAAAATGTGAGTGCCAGTGAAAGATTCTTCCCATTGCAGCAGATTCCTCCAGACCCTGCTTTGCTGCTCGTCTCAGGGAGGAGACAACACCTTGTTCCCAACTTGCACAGCTCTGCAGGGAAGCACTGCCCCGTGAACAGACTTCCTCGTGGGTTTTAGCAGTGCTTGTCAGCGCTTGCTATTTGAAGCCTATAACCCTTTTTTCCCCCCAAGACAGCAGATTTATCGCTGGGGATGTGAAAAATGAAGGTGGCTGGGACGGCTGGTGGGTGAGCTGTGGCCTTGGAGACGTGGATGGGGCTGCAGAGGTGTTCTGGCCATGTAGAAGATATTTCTGGCTCTGACCCAAAGGCACAAAAGAAGGGGAGAAAAAAAAATCCAACACCTTCTGTAAATTAAATTTTTCAGGGCCTAAAAAGAACCCACAGTGATGCCGTGAGATGCTCCACCCCACCAAGTCTTCCTTCCCTGGCTCTCCCTTCCCACCCTGCTTCCCCCAGGCCTGGGTGTCTCCTGTCCCCACGATGTCCCCGCCCAGGTGGCATTTTGAGAAGATTTTATTAAAATGATGAAATTATGCATTTCATCCCCGCTTGGTTCTGTGGGAGCTGTTCCTCAGTGACTGCCTTTGAGCATCTGGCAAGCAAAGGAGATTTGTTGAGGTGTTCACTCCATTTCTAAGGCATCCCTTTATTCCCATCACTTCCAGGCCTGGTGCTGCCAAGGGAGCTGCTGACAGGGCAGGGCATGGCGAGATCCAAAGAGAGCTCTGTGTGTCCCCTCCTCTTCAAAAACATTCCAAATTAGTGATTCCAGTATCAGGAACATCATCCTGAGCCTGTTGGATGTGACCACCCGAGCCCATGCAGCCCTTGCAGCCACCACCAGACTTTTTGGGAGCTGATTAAATTTTTTCCCCCCCTCAGAGCTTTATTGTGGATGGATATTTTCTGCCACCTCCTCCCATGGGTCCTATCCATGCGCTGGGCACTCTGGTCCTGCAGGGTTCCTCCCTCCGTCCCTGGAGCCAGATGGACACCCACAGATCGGCCGGATTTCTCCAAATCTAAATATTTTGCGCCCTCTCCTGGGTCCGGATGGCGTGGCCCGGCCCTCCCACTCCGTCACCTCCCTCCGCTCTGGGAAGAGATGGGGACATCAGGCTGGGGCTCTCCCTCCAGCCTCCCCTCTCGCAGCCCCCCAGCACTTTGCCCTTCCATTGCAGGACCCCAAAAACGCATCAGAGGGGATTTTGGCGAGGATGAGCTCAGGCCGAGGGAAAGCACAGGGCTGCCTTTGGCTCCTCCATCACATTCTGCGCCCCAGCCCAGAGTCACTGTCACTGTCAGGACAGGGACACAGCTCCTGCAAAACCAGGTGGTTTGAGTTAATGCTGCAGCCCAGCCGTGATGCTGGGATCTCTGAGCATCATCCAAGAGCCTGTGACCACTCTGGACACCCTCCTCATCCTCATTACAGCAAGGAGACACCCTGGGACTGCCAGCCCTGGGTGCTTGGATGCCCAGGTGGCTGAGGAGATGCTGTGTACCTGCAGGGAGCAGTCAGGATGGAGCTGCACGCTTGGCCAGCTGCAGGCAGCCAAGCTGGAGGGGTGCTCAGCCCTGGAGATTGGAAACAAATCACTTCAATCCACTCAGGTGTGATTATCATAAGCAGACATGAAAAATGCGGTCATCCACATATATATTTTTATATATATGTATATATACACACTGTATAGATACACATACCGTGTTCAGGCAGAGAATTTCTGCACTGCAGAGCCTGGGCTGGGCCACAAACCTCCCTCTGCTGGGATATATTCTATGTCTGCACACACAGTGGGTGTATACACCCATCTGAGAGAGAGCAGGGAGTTAATTCTATACATCCTATGCATTAGAGAAGAGCGATGAGTGCAGCATCCCCCTCGCAAACCCTCCTTGCTGTGAGGGAGCAGCATCCCAACAGAGGCTGGGGGAGCAAAGCTGAAGTCCCAGCCCCGTGGAGAGGCCTAGCCAGCTGTGGGATGTATGTGATGTGGCCCGGACATTGAGTGGCTCTCTGTGGAATGCATTTTCCAACTCCAGGTGTTGTGTCCACGTGTGCTGGCTCTGATTGTGGTGGATCCTGTTAGGAGGTGACAGCAGGGCACCACTGGCACCAGCATGGGCCAGACTTGGGGTGTTGAGCTAAGCAGGGAGCTGGATTTATGGAGGTCCCCAGGCAGGTGACAATGCTGCTGTCTTGTGCCTAACCCAGCCCATGGTCATGGCTTCAGTGGGAAATCCAGCATGGGTGTTCCAGTTGCCCTGATGTCCCCTTTCCCTGTTCCCAGTCCATCCAGGGCTGCTGCTCCACCATTTTGTAGCACCAGTGAGCTTGTGTCTCTAGCTGGTGTGGCCTCATTCCAGGCACTGGGGGATAGGGATGTCCCAAAAAGGATGTTTCACTAAAACCACCTGTGACACTGATCTTGAGCTGGAGGAACACATGGCCCCGTGGTATGGGCTGAACCAAACCCTCCCCAGCCTTCATGCTGCCCCCATCAGGGAATTTTTAATGGAATATGGGGACAAACCATCCACCAGCAGCTGAGCCAGGGATGTGTCCTCCATGGAGCTCCATCTTGCTCTCCATGGTCCCAGTGGATTTTTATTGCATCGGTGCCTTGACCACCAAGGTGCTGAGCTGCTCCAGGTGAGCAAGGGGGAGAACACTGGATCTGTGATGGGGTTAACACTGCACCACTGGATGGAGGTGGATCACCACGGATCCACCACCAGGCTGACAGCTTGGGAGATGCCATCCTCCTCCCCTCCAGCACGTCCCTGGTGAAGCCATCTCTGCTCCGTGGAGCTCAGAGCCGAAATTGCTCCGCGCCTCGGTGGCACCGAGGTGGCTTCGTCCTCGCCTAGGAGCCGTAGGTGACGCAGTGGTCGTGGCGCCACTTGGAGCTCACCTTGTCGAGGAGGTAGCGCGTGCTCTCGCGGAACTTGCGCTGCGTGAAGTAGAAGAGGATGGGGTCGAGCACGCTGTTCATGCTGGCGAAGGGCCGCGTGCACTTGTAGGCGATGGCGAAGGCCTGCAGGGCCGGGCAGGGCAGCGCGGGCGAGGAGCGCACGATCAGGTAGATGGTCTTGGTGAGGTGGAAGGGCAAGAAGCTGATGGAGAAGACGATGACCACGATGATGACCATGCGCACGGCCTTGTCCTTCCTCTTGTGCACGGCCAGGCCGATGAGCTCGTCCTTCTGGCACAGGATGCGCGCCATGCTGCAGTAGCAGGCCAGGATGGCCGCGAAGGGCAGCAGGAAGCCGGTGAAGGTGAGGGTGATGCCGTAGGGGAAGTAGGCGGCCGAGCGGTCGGGCGCGCTCAGGTCGTAGCAGACCGTGCGGTTCCTCTGCGTGCCCGTGGAGGCGAAGACGAAGGTGGGCAGGCACTGGGCGATGACGATGAACCACACGGCCGCGCACACCAGCCACGTCAGCTTCTTGCCCTTCTTCTTGTGCCACGAGGCCAGGGGGTGGCAGATGCCCAGGTAGCGCTGGACGCTGATGCAGGTGAGGAAGAAGATGCTGCTGTGCAGGTTGGTGTAGAACTGGAAGCGCACGAATTTGCAGGTGAAGTCCCCGAAAGGCCAGTAGTCCTTCTGGGTGTAGTTGTAGATGAGCAGGGGCAGGGAGCAGACGTAGAGCAGGTCGGCCACGGCCAGGTTGAGCATGTAGATGGTGGTGCGGCTCAGCGCCTGCCGCGCCAGCCAGATCTGCCCGATGACCACGGCGTTGAGGGGCAGCCCCACCACGAACACCACCGAGTACACCAGGGGCAGCAGCACCTGCTTGAACTCCTCGTGGTAGGTGCACGAGTTCCTCCCGCTGCTCGTGGCTGTCAGGTTGGCCATGATGGCGTTCCCAGGTGTCAGTGTCCTCTCTGCTGGTGTGGCCCCTTGGTAGCACCTGTGAATGTCAGAGGGGACAGCTGGTGACTTGTCTGCCTCCTCAAAGGATGAACCTGGACTGGTGATCTGCAGGTTGGGGCAACCCCCAGGCTGGGGCTGAAGGGATGGAGAGCAGCCCTGAGGATGATTTGGTGGATGGGAAGCTGGACATGACCCAGCCATGTGCAACCCCCCCGTGCCCTGGGCTGATCCCCCAGCACAGGCAGCAGGGGAGGGGGATTCTGCCCCTGAGCTCAGGTGAGATCTCACCTGCAGAGCTGCCCCAGCCCTGGGGACACAGCAGCAGGACCTGGAGCTGCTGGAGAGAGCCCAGAGGAGGCCCTGAGCTGCTCCAAGGGATCCCCTCTGCTCTGGAAGGGCTGGGCTACCCAGAGAAGCTGTGGCACCCCTGGAAGTGTCCAAGACCAGGTTGGACAGGGTTTGGAGCACCCTGGGCTAGTGTGAGGTGTCTCTGTACAGTACTTGAACATCTGTAAGTAAAAGGAAAGGGGGAAATATAGTACTTGAATATCTGTGTATAGGCCTTGCCCTGGTAGGCCCCAGTTGTTCTAGATGGGCTGCAGCTGTGATGTCCTTCATTGGGCTGCAGCTGTGGCTAGTGAAGGTAACTGGGATAAAAGGGGGGTGGGCTGGCTGGTCAGGGAGAGCCTTGCAGGAGCCCTGATGAAGAAGCAAGAACAGTGCTGCTGTGAAGAGCTGCGTGTGAGAAAACCACCCAGAAGGTATGGGACTCTGGAAATAGGATAACAACACCCTGGGCCAGTGTGAGGTGTCTCTGCCCATGGCAGGGGGCTGGACTGAACCTTGAAGGTCACTTCCATCCCAGATCCTGCTGTGATTCCACAATCCTAAGCCACAGTGATGGCTTTAGGCAGGGTGAGTGGGGACCGCGCAGGGCAGCGTGGCGGCCACGCTTGCCACCATCCCCTGGCACTTTTCCTGCCCGGGAAGGTTTGCCCGGGGCCGAGCGGCTGCCGGGGCCCTCCGGCGGAGGGGATGGCGGCAGGATGCTGCGCTGGCCGCCGGCGCGGCTCCTGCGCCTCTGCAGGGGGTGCCAAAGCCCCGCGGTGCCACCGCGCCGAGCCCAGCGAGACCCTGGCGGGCACTGCCAGCCCGAAATCAGCGCGGGGACAGCGAGCCCAGAGCTTTCCCTAGTCTAGCCCACCCAGCTCTGAGCAGCGGAGGGGGAGATGTGCTTTCCTCAGGGGCTCAGAGCAGCACATGCGGTGGCACAGCCCATGAGCCCCCTGCCCGGGGGCAGCGTCTGTCCCGGCGGGTCCCCGAGCCGCTTCTCCTGCCTCCCCTCCCGTCCTCCCTGCCCTGCCCGGGATGCAGCCCTGGCCGCAGACACGGCCCCCGCTTCCCCTGCTGCCCTGCGCACAAACCTGCCTGCAACGGGGTGCCCACTGGGAAGGGGAAACTGAGGCAGGGAGGAGGTGCCCAAGCTCCAGCCAGGAGCATGGGGCACGGGGCACCAGGGAGGGAGAGACAAACGAGTCCAGGGGTCACCCCATTAGCTTGTACACCTCAATTTCAGGTGTCTGGGGATTCAGCAATCCCCAGAGCACAGCCCAGCCATGGTGTCGGTGTGGGGGACACAATTTTGGGTTTGTGAATCAGTCCCCTGGTTGCTTCCATCCCCCTGGTACCCTGCTGAGTCCCCCTGCACCCCCATGCATGCCCTCACACCCTATTTGAGTCCCTCTGTCACCTCACTGAGCCCTCATCATCCCACAGTGCCCCCCTGCATCCCAGTGTCACCCCACTGTCGCCCCAGCTCCAGGCAGTCACAGCACTCACCTCTGCCACCTCCAAGCCAATAAATGCTCCAGGGCTGTGCACTTCCCTCTCCCCTGGCTTCCCCCAAAGCTCCCCTGGGTCCCCCCAAACCTCCCTCAGGACCCAAAGTCAGAGCAGCACCCACAGGACCCTCTGCCACCCCCCGGTGTCCCCACCAAGGACACAGGGGACAAGGTGGCTGGGAAGGATCCTGGGAGTGCCTCTTACCTCTTGGGGTGCCCCAGGGTGCTGGAGGCACGGCTATGCCAGCCCTTGGCACATCTGTGGGTGCTGTGCTCACCCCATTGAGCAACACTTCCCTTTCCTCTTTCCCCCCAGGGAAACAGGGAACAGAAACCAGCTGGCAGGAATGGCTCTGCACGGCTGTGGCATAGCACAGATGCCACCAGGGCAGGGGATGCTCCTGCCTCTGAGTGCCAGGATGTGGCTGGCTCACGATTATTTGGTTTTTTCTGTAATTTTTTAAATTTTCCCCCTCAAGTTTTGGCTGCTTTCCCTCATTTTTGAGTCTTTCCTCCATTTTTGCCTCATTTCCGTCATATTTGGCTCCTTTTAATTTTGCGCAGATGTTAGGGACAGGAAAGTCCCCTGGCACTGTGGCACCAAGAGGAAGAAGATGCTCCAGCTGTGCAGATGCTGCAGTAAAACGAGGGAAACTGAGGCACAGGTACTGAGTTTGGCATGAACCCGTGTGACCTGCACCCTGTTTCAACATATTTTTACCCCAAAATACCCCTTGGAGATGTTAGCAGGGACCTGCTAAGGACCATGCCCAGGGCCACCTAGGTCTTCAGTTACCCAAAAAAATGGAGGAGCAGTCAAAAAAAGAAGGGATCCCCCCCAAAAAAGGGCAAATGAGGAAAAAATCCCTCTTTGTAAGAGGGAAACAGCACTGAACCCCCTTCTGCTGGGTTTGGAGGGATGGGAAAGCTGGAGGAGAGGAGGAAAACCCAGAACCCCCAGTCCCAGTCTGCCAGTGTCCCTCCAGTTAATGAAATCAATTAATGAAACCACACTGAGACCCTCAGCCAGTTTCTGTGCCCAGGGCATGCTCCCAGCTCATTGTCTATCGGGGTGGGTTATCCCAAAAGTCCCTTTTCTCACCCCAAAACCCCATCATGGGAATCCCTGCCAGCTCTTGGGGTGATGGGGCTGGCACCTCCCACATCCATTGGAGCTGGTGCCCTGCCACCACTGGCTGAAATCCATAGGGAAATGAGAATTTTAGGGGGAAAAAGGGGGGTGCCTGTGGTGTTGGGAAGGGTCAGGATGGGGTCACCCTCATCCCAGAGGTTTAAGGTGCCTGCAGAGGAGGAACAAGGATCAGGAAAGAGAAGTGGGGCTGCTCTGTGGCCAGATGGGGAGGAGATTAAAAATAATCACCCGCAGCCGTGAGCTTCCCCTGCACGTGCCCCCTCCAACCTCTCTGCTTTCAAACCAAGGCCTTCTCCAATGGAATTAGCTTTAATTAACACCCTGCTATTGACTGGGAGGGGGATTCTGTGAGCTGGATATGGTGAGGAAAGCTTTTGGACGTTGCTGCCCTGGAATAGGATGTGGGGAAGGCTTTGTCCCTTGGAAATCTTCCTGCGTGGTTTATCTTTCCCAGCCTGGTCTTTGTGGCTGGCTGGCAGGGCTGGAAGTCTGGGCTGGGGGAAGTGAAAGCTCCAGCTCAGCAAATTTCAGAGCATGAAAAGGGAGATGCTCCATCCTGCATGTCACTTGGCCAAAGACACCACATCCTTATCCCCAAACATCTCCTGGCTGGTGCCAAGATATCCTCAGGTGCCCATCTGCACAATGGGGAGCCAGGCTTGGATGTTTAAAGGGAAATCTCCATTTAGTGAAGCCTCAGGTTGTAACAATGTGGAAAAAATTGGGGCAAATTTGGGAATTTTGGGGTACCAAATAGGGATTGTTGGGCACAGGGGGTGGCAGAGCCACTCTGTCCTTGGGTGAGCACATTTATCTTCCCACAATTTGGTTCCCCATCATAAATCAGCACCTCAAGGAGGCTCTGAGCAACCTGGGCTGTGATTCCCTGCTGGAAAGGGAATGATGGGGACAGGGAAGGTGCAATGAGCTTTCCCAGTCTCAGCTGCCCTATTCCTCTATGCATGTAAATATAAATACAAATATAAACATATATCTCTTTACATAAATACACCTCTGCACACCTCTCTACATATGTATCTCACTATATTCAATATATTGTATAATAATATTATCTATTATTATATTAATATAAATGGTAATAAATAAATGTGTGGAGAGCCTATCTATGGCTCTCCAAACATTTATTTATTATCATTTATGTTAATATAATAATAGATTAATATTATATTAATATATATTAATATTATATTAATATATTTTAATTATTTATTTATATGATTTTATATAATTATATAATCACATATATAATATATTATGTATAAATACTTATATAAAAATATAATATATAATATATTTCTATATTCTATATTATACATTATATAGAATTATCTATAATTATAATATAGTAATATAATTTAATATAATATTAATAGAGTAATATATTAAATTATATTAACATATAGAAATAATTATTAATATATAAAATTACATATTATTTATATTCTATAAAATCATATTTATGTATAAATGCATATTATTTGTATTTTTATAAATATAAATAATGTATATCTCTTTACTCACACACACACACATACCGAAACTTCTCCACCGCTACACACATATATATGTCCCTGAGCACATGGAATCACACTCGTGTTGATACATAACTCCACCCATATATACAGAAATATATTTCATATACACACATGTCTATGCAGACATGCTCATATATAGGAATATATTTATCCCTCTGGAAGTATACATGCACAAATATATTTATATATAAAAGGTGGATGCCAGGCTACTGGCACCCAGAGCAGAGGTGCCAAGGAAAACCAGGTCCCTCGAGCAGATTTAAGCTCTATTTACGTGCAATACTACTTCTGGCACAGGGCTGATCGCTGTGGATGCCTGAGGGATGCACGCACTCCAGACCATGGGAGCAGAGGGAGAATCCAGCCTGCACCAGCCCTGCCAGGGGGATCACGGTGGGATTTTGAGCCCGGCTGCCTGGTAAGAGCTGCCGAACCTCCCCAAAAGCAAAGCTTCGATTCGGAGTGGCTCT